TCACAATAGAGGGTCCTGGACAGAGCTGGAAAAGGATGTAGAACAGAATTCTAACTCACAAAAAAAGATCAGATTTACTGGCCTGACAGACTGGAGAAACCCCAAGAGTATGGCCCCCAGACACCTTTTTAGCTCAGTGGTGAAGCTCCTCCCAGAGTTCACCATTCAGCCGGGGATTGGACAGCCTCATAAAGCAGGACTAAGGAGGCACAGCAGTCCAGGGACAAGAACTAGAAGCCAGGAGGGGACAGGAAAGCTGATGATAGGGAAGCCAAGGTTGAGAAGGGTCAGTGTTGATATGTCATGGGGTTGTTAACCATTGTCATAAGGCAGTATGTGTACTAACTGTTAAATGAGAAACTATTCTGCAAACTTTAAGGTACAAAAAAAAAAAAGAATTATCTATGTGAGATCAAATTGACAATAGCAACTCAGTGGGTTTGATGGGAGGCCTAGGGGACAGTGAGTTGAAGATAATGGGGATGGAATAATGTGGAAAGAGTTAGTGAGAATGGCAGCACAGCTGGAAGAATGTAATCGATGTCACTGAATTGCACATGTAGAAACTTTTGAAATGGTTTAACTTTGGCTGTGTATATTTTTACCAAAAAAAAGGTCAAAAGGTCGAGAAGGGAGAGTGTTGACATGTTGTGGGTTTGTTAACCAATGTCATAAAACAATATATGTACTGACTGTTTAATGAGAAACTTTGGTTCTGTAAACCTTCATCTAAAGTATAATAAAAAAATTTAAAAAAAAAAATTGTTGAAATGCACATTGTCTGAAAAATGTGTTTTTAACAAAGACTGGGAAACCAAGTCTTTGTTAAAAAGATACAAAACAGTTTTATAGAGCATTTATTGTCATTTGTATCTTACTATTTTCCATGTTTATTTGTAAGGAGGAATAGATAGACTTATGGGTCTTGAGAATGTAACCTATTCTTGTGGTCATATGGCAAGTTTTAAAGGCCTTCATTTGGTTTACAGCCTGTTAATGTTTTTGCTTTGTTTACTTAGCATCTCAGTAGAAGACTGCTTTATTGTGCCTCCTTATTGATCTGTATGTTCCCGGTTAGATTAGATCGTCAGCCCTTTTGAAGTTCTTTATTGTGTTTCTAGCACTTAGCAGAGCGCCCTTAATGCCTATATCTGCTCTCCCAGATAAAAATAATAATTTGTTTTGTTTTGAGGTTGAAACTTTTAAAATCTCTGCTCTAATGACCTTTTTCTTTGATTAAATGCTTCCTATTTTCATCAGGAGCCATTAAGACTTCAGAAAAATTTTTATTGTGTCTGACAGAGTTACAAATTTAACTCATGTCCTTGTCTCCCCCACCTCTGAATCAACTTTTTAATAAGTATTTTTATAAATTGTCCCTAAAATATATTGAATTTCCTCAATTTACCTTTAAAATAGTTGTGTTTATTTTCAGTGATTCCAGAAAGCATAAAAAGAAGGATTTTTATTGTTTTCATACTTTGAAGAAGTATTATAAAGCTATGTTGAAATTATTAGGTGTGTAAATTACCATCGATCCTTTTTATTTATGGAATGAGAAATATTTTCTTAATAACAGATTTAAAAAATACAGGCATTTCTTTTTTTAAAAGTATTTTGGCAATTGCTTTTTTTTACAAATAGTTTTTTTATGGTATAGTTTAAATTTGTTTTTTAAATTTGGTAGTTATAAAACCACTCCTTTCTAGCTTTTGCTGAAAACACCATTTTTTTAATCCAGAAGTAAACTTTTCAAACTAGTTAATGACACTGCATTGCAGTTATTTGTTTATATGTACAAATGCGCAAGCTGCTTGAAGACTTTTTCATTTTTGTGTCCTTTAGACACTCGAAGCTTATTTATTGAATAAACGAGTAAAACGGTTTTGAAGTAAAAGTAAAAATTTTAAGCATGGTCAGCTTGCTGACGTTTCTCGCCTTCTTAATTGCAGGTTTTGGATTAAAATACAAAAGTACACTGAGCGGGCACTCTGCTCCTGTTCTGGCTTGTGCGTTTTCCCACGATGGGCAGATGCTAGTCTCCGGGTAAGTTGTTTAATTTTCTTAAAAACCTTTTGATTTGAAATAAAGCAGACATACAGAAAAATACATAAAATATGAGAACAGTTTGATAAGATACTCTGATGAAACCTGTATAACCTCCACTCAGGTCAAAAACCAGAACATTGCTGGGTCTGCTCCAAAAGCCTCTCCCTTTCCAAGTGCCCCTTTCTGGTGACATCTCCTCAGGTCACAGTTGTAATCTACATATGCATTCTTTAACACTCCAGGATTGTTTTTTCCATCGTTTTTTTAAACTGACTTTAAACAAATCATACAATATGAATTATTTGTGCCTGACTTGCTTTATCCAACGTTACATTTGTGCGATTCATATTGTTGCATGTATTTTGGTTTGTTGATTGTCACTGCTATGAAATATTTTGTTGTGATTTATTTATCCTTTTGAAAAATTATATTGTAAAATATATGTAACAAAACATTTGCCATTTCAACCATATTTACGTGTACAATTCAGTGACTTTAATTACATTCATGCTGTTGTGTAACCATCACCAGTTTCAATTTGAAATTGTTTCATCACCCTTAACAGAAACTCAGTACCCCATAAACAATAACTCCCCATTTCTCCCTCCCACTCCTGCTAACCACTAATAAACTTTGGTTTCTATTCATTTGCCTATTCTATATATTTCAGGTAAGTGGGATTATACAATATTTGTCCTTTTATGTCTGGTTGATTTCACTCAGTGTAATATTTTTCAGATTCATCCGTTGTCATAGTATGTTTCAGGACTTCATTTCTCTTTAAGGCTGGATAATATTCCATTGTATGGGCATACCACATTTTGTTTGTCCATTCCTCTGCTGATGGACATTTGGGTTGTTTCCACCTTTTGGCTATCGTGAATAATGCTGCAGTGAACACTGGTGTGCAAGTATGTTTGTATCGCTGCTTTCAAGTCTTTTGGATATAGACCTAGGAGTGGAATTGCTGGGTAATATGGTAGTTCTTTGTTTAACCTTTTGAAGAACCATCAACTGTTTTCCACAGTGACTGCACCATTTTACATTCCCACCAGTAAATGAGAGTTCCAGTTACTCCACATCCTTGCCAGCACTTATTTTCCATTTTTTCTAATAGCCATCTTATCAAGGGTGATGTAGTATCTCATTGTGATTTTGACTTGATTTCCCTAATGACTAATGAAGGAGCCCTGGTGGTATAATGGTTAAGCACTCGGCTGCTAACTGAAAGGTTGGCAGTTCAAACCTACCCAGCAGCTCTGCAGGAGAAAGACCCTAGTGATCTGCTCCTGTAAAGATTACAACCTAGAAAACCCTATGGGGCAGTTCAGCTCTGTCACATTCAGTCTCTGAGTTAAAATCGACTGAACAGCGTCTGATGAATTTGGGAAAAATTGACATTTTTATGATACTGAATCTTTTAATTTATGAATTAGATATATTTATCCATTTATTTCAGTCCTTAATTTTTCTCAACTTTCTTCCATGTAGAGGTCCTGCACATCTTTTGTTAGATTTATTTCCAGATTTTTATTCTTTTTTGTTGCTATAATAAAGATTGTACTTGAAAACTCTTATTTTTTGTTTGTCGATAATCCAGGTAGTCACCGACTTATGACTGGGTTCGATTCCGATGACTCTGTTGTAAGTCGGTTCTTATGTAAGTCAAATACCTCATTTTTTTTTTTTTTTTACTTTTTATTGTTATTGCCTTTTATTGTCAATATTGTTATAAATCTGATCTTCATTGTTATACTATAAATATTGTTATAAATCTGGTCTTCATCTACATACGTACATACAGAAAAAATACATAAATCATAAAACTTTGATGATGAAGAAGAGTTGGACAGTGTTGGCATTTTGTCGGTTGCATAATAACTCCACTTGTGGAAGGATCATCTGGATTGTCCCTGGGAATGAGGATGGCGTTTCTAGTCAGAAAATTAGTGAGAGTTGTCTGTATGGTCCTTTTCTTCTTTTCTTCATATTTTTCGTGGTAACATCTCACTGCTTCCCGAAATGCCTGTTGACTTTAGCAAAGAGATCAGCGTTTGGGTCCATGTTTTCAAGCAACTGAAGCCCCTGATTTAGTTTAGAAAACTAAATCTATATGGCAATGTTTTGAACAGTGAATCATAAAATTGAACATCTGCGAGTGACTATCTGAGAATGATAACATCAGCAAATTACACACTGCAACATTGTAGTACATATTACTAACAAATAAGATGTACAAAAAGAAAAACCAAAAAATAGACGGTCGTAAGTGAGGTTTGTCATAACTTCAATATGTCATAAGTCAGGGATTACCTAATATGGAAGTGCAATGAACCTGTTATTTTTTTTTTTTCCTGATATGAAGTCATTATTTGTAAATAATGATGGTTTTCTTCCTTCTTTTCTAATCCTTGTACCTTTCGTATCTTTTCTGTGCCTTACTGAACTAATACTACTGTTAGGTTATTGTTAGGTGCCCGTCGAGTCAATTCCAACTCATAGTGACTCCATGTGACAGAGTAGAACTGCCCCATAAGATCTTCCAGACTATAATCTTTATGGGAACAGGTCACTAGGTCTTTTCTCCCATAGAGCCCCTAGGTGGGTTTGGGCTGCCAACCTTTGAGTTAACAGCCTAGTGCTTAACCATTGTGCCACTGGGGCTCCTTTAATACTACCAGGACAATGGGAATAGTGAGAATAGACATCTATGTCTGATTTCTCATTGCAAATGGTAAACTTTCATTATTCAGTTTGTTTCATTGTAGGTTTTTGGTAGGTAAGCTTTATTAGCTCTTCTACTCTTTCCAGTTCGTAAGAGTTTTTATTATGAATGTATGTTGTATTTTATCAAATGATTTTTCCTGAATCTTTTGAGATGATCATATGATTTTTCTCTTTTAGTCTATTAGTATGGCATAGTACATTGCTTTTCAAATGTTAAGCTAACTGTGCTTTGTTGGAATAAAGCCAACTTGTTTGTGACGTATTATCATTTTTTGTGTATTGCTATGAAGAAGTCAGTTTTATTAAAACTGTTGCTCCTTCTAATGTAATTTATGTTTTTCTTTGGCTACTTTAAAAGTTTCTGCTTGTGGTTTTCTGCACATTCATCTTGATGTATCAAGGTGTGAGTTTCTTTCGATTTAGTTTGCTTGAGATTTGTTGAACTTTTCAGATTGTAGATTGTTACCTTTCATCAGTTTTAGGAAATTATTATTCATCAAATTCTTATCTCTTCAAATATTGCCTCTTCCTTCTTTCTTTCCTCTAATTCTTGGTTTCCAATCAAATGCAAATTATACCTTCTCACTGTAAACTCTATGTCTCTTCTTCTCCCTTCTTTGTTTTTCATTTTTATTTTGTGCTTTTTTCTGGATGGTGTTTCTCTTCAGCTTTCTCTAGTGAGCTAAAAATTAAAAAACCCAGTCTGTTGGGTTATTAATATTGGTCATTTTATTTGTTGGTTTTGCTAAAAGCAGTACTATGTAAGAGGGAGGAGAGACTTTAAGAAATGTAAATGTAGATAATAGAGGTTTATTGTCATGAATTAGGAGTAGCTTAATAAACAACCCTCTCTTACTCGATAATGACTAGCACAAGAAGACTTAAAATCATGTTTCCCAAAACCCAAATCATCTTTTTTTTGTCTTTGGCTGCTCTCTCTATAACATAGCTAACGATCCTGTTGAACTAGTCAACTCAAGGTAACTTTTAGTTACCTTAAAGTACATGTTGCAATTACTTATCATGGAGGGTAATCGGATATCACAAGGCTTGAAATTACATGTTCAGTGAAAGTTGAATAGCAATGCCATCTGCTTTATAAAATTTTAGGCTAAAACTATTAGAATATGTGCTTGTTATGCATCAATTTTAATAAGTTCATGGGGGAAAATGTTCTAACAAAATCCAAGAATATGGCTTTTGGTATCATACAGAACTGAGTTTTAATCCCAGCCTTGCCACTTCCTTGGACAAGTTCTAGTTCTGTATCTTTTCTCAGCTTTAGTTTGTATAATTATAAACTAGAGAATGTAATAGTTTTCCTCATGGTATTATTATGAAACTTAAATAAGAAAGTACAGGTAAAGCATTTATCATTTATGTTTGGGACATAATAATTGCTCAATACATATTTATTATTAATATCTTCTATTTAGTCCAGAACATCGGGGAATTGTATGACATACCATTGTACTCCTACTTTTTCTGATTTCTGCTTTTTCTGAATTGTGCTTGAGCCGTTGGCTTATGTTGAGGAGTGTCTTAATTATCTAGTGCTGCTGTAACAGAAATACCACAAATGGATGGCTTTAACAAACAAATTTATTTTCTCACAGTTTGGTAGGCTAGAAATTCAAATTCAGGGTGCCAGCTATAGGGGAAGGCTTTCTCTCTGTGTCGACTCTGGAGGAAGGTCCTTGTCTCTTCAGCTTCTGCTTCCTGGTTCCTTGGAGATTTACATGTGTCTTATGTATCTTACCCCATCTCTGCTTCTAGTTTGCTTGTTTAATCTCTTTTATATCTCAAACAAGATTGACTCAAGATACACCCTATTCTAATCCTGCCTCATTAACATAACAAAGACAATCCATTCCCAAATGGGATTATAACCATAGGCATACCCATTGCCGTTAAGTCAGTTCTGACTCACAGGGCCCCTTTAGGACCCTGTAGAGTAGAACTGCCTCATAGGGTTTCCAAGGATTGGCTGGTGGATTTGAACTGCCGACTTTTTGGTTAGCAGCGAGCTCTTAACCACCGCACCACCAGGGCTCCATCCACAGATGTAGAAGTTAGAATTTACAACATATTTTTTTGGCGACACAATTCAATCCATAACAAGGAGTATTACAACAAACAGTTATTTGAAGCTTATCGTACTTTCTCAGGAGAGGTTGTTGAGGACTTTGTTCATGTTTCATAGCATGCTCTCTATAAAGACACCAAGGGAAAGTTTTCTACTAGGCATTGTCATGGAATTGTCTTATTTATATATCACGGGTACTTGTTCTATTAATGGCTATGTATTACAAACAGCATATGCTATTGTTTCAGTGTCCCTGGGTGGTGCAACTGGTTAACATGCTCAGCTGCTAACCAAAAGGTTGAAGGTTTGAGTCTACCCAGAGGTGCTTCAAAAGAAAGCCTGGTATTCTACTTCTGAAAAATCAGCTGCTGCAAACCCCATGGAGCAGGTTCTACTCTGACACACGGGGTTGCTATGAGTCAAAATTGACTCAATGGCAACTAGTTTGGTTATTGTTTTAATACATTTTATAATTTTCTGATTAAATTCACATGTGGTATGTAGATTTTTGAATAAAAATATATACTTATGAACAAAAAGAGACTATATTCTAAATGTTTATATGTCAATAATTTAACCTTTTCTTTATAATTATTTAACAATACTAATTACATAAATGTTGTTCTTTGTTTTTATAGAGCTTTTCACCTATAATTTTCTTTCTTTTTTTTTTTTTTTTAGATCAGTGGATAAGTCTGTCGTAGTCTATGATACTGTAAGTATTTCACAATGTTGTGAGAGCTACGTAAATTACCTTTATTAGGCTGTTGCACTTGAAGTTAAGCAAGATAAAAGAAAAGTACTTTTTTTTTCCTCCGCAGTATGCCCAAGAATATAATATATACATTTTCACAAGTGCTGGAGTTGTTATGAAAGTAGGGTATTGGTTTTGGGACAGACCCTTAAATATACCAATAATCATTTTAAAATGGATAGGATTTTTAATCTGGTCATAGAACATACAGATTTAAATAGCATCAGTATCCAAAAAAATTCTTTTCAGTCAGTTATTCTTAAACTTTTATACCAGGCTTCCATAACAGCTAAGAATAAATGTTTACCTCAGGGATTTTGGAGAGATTATTAGACCGTCTTCACTATTTTGCCATGCCACCTTGTCAAATATCACTGACTATTTATGGGTCTGTTTCTCTGCCTGCTTTTCTCTTCTGTTTTTCTATTTATCCTTGTTCTAAAACTTTTCTCTATTTCCAAGGCTTTATATGTTGTCTGTTCTTGGCTCTTGATCAAAAAAAAAACCAAACCCACTGCCGTGGAGTCAATTCTGATTCATAGCGACTCCATAGGACAGAGTAGAACTTCCCGATAGAGTCTCCAGGAGCCCTGATGGCACATTGGTTAAGAGCTTGGCTGCTAACCAAAAGGTCGACAGTTCGAATCCACCAGCTACTCCTTGGAAACCCTATGGGGCAGTTCTACTCGGTCCTATAAGGTCACTGAGTCGGAATCGGCTCGGTAGCAATGGGTTTGGTTTTGGTTTTATATGGTTTCCAAGGCTGTAAATCTTTACAAAAGCAGGGTGCCACATTTTTCTCTGTGGAGCAGCTGGTGGGTTTGAACCACTGACCTTTCAGCTAGCAGCTAAATGCTTAACCACTGTGCTATCAGGGCTCCTTTGGCTCTTAATACTTCCATATAAATTTTAGAATCAGTTTGCCAGGTTGTCCCCAACTCTCTCCTCCACGCACATACGCAAACAGCTGAAAGTAGCCTACCACTCTTAGAGTCCTGGCTGAATTTAGAGACAAGTTTAAGAAGGAGTAGGTAATATGGACTTGGAAAAACAGGAGTTTTTGGCAGATCCATGTGGATGAAGGCCAAGTTCCAAGAGTATGAAGGAAAACGAATGTCTTTTTTATAACAAAGATGTAGTTGACAAAATATGTTCCAAGAGAAATCACTGCTGATCAAGTTCAGGCCATAGCTATGCCAGCAAATGAAATGGAGATGTTAGTCATCAAAGTGAAGTAAGTGAAGGAATCAAAACTAGTACTCCACACAGAAGTTGAAGCGACTGAGTTTCTAGTAGGAAATCAGAGAGAATACTCAAGCTAGGTGCAGTAGATCTTTAACATTTCTCATGACATTTTCATGAGATCTCACATTCACAAAAATAACCATAGCATAATTTTCTCTGTAAGATAGATATGTGAGTCCCAGTTAAATACGTCTAGATGTTCGGTGGGCATCAAAATTTAAGTGCACTTAATATCTAAGTGACTAATTTTTATCCAGGCTCACTGAAGGCAAAAACAAGGCCCCAGGAATTGATAGAATACCAATTGAGATGTTTCAACAAACGGATGCAGCACTGGGAGTACTTACTTATTTATGCCAAGAAATTTGGAAGACTATTGCCAACTGACGGGAAGAGATCCATGTATGTGCCTATTCCAAAGAAAGGTGATCCAACACAATGTGCAGATTATCAAATAGTATCATTAATATTACACGCAAGTAAAATTTTGCTGAAGATCATTCAGTAGTGGTTGCAGCAGTACATCAACAAGGAACTGCCAGAAATTCAGGCCAGATTCAAAAGAGAATGTGGAATGAGGGATACCACTGTTGATGTCAGATGGATCCTGGCTGAAGCAGAGTACCAGAAAGATGTTTATCTGTGTTTTATTGACTGTGCTAAGGCATCTGACTATATTGATCATAACAGATTATGGATAACGTGGCAAAGAATGGGAGTTCCAGAGTACTTAATTGTGCTCATGAGAAACCAGTACATAGATCAAGAGACAGTTGTTCTTACAGAACAAGGGGCTACTGTGTGGTTTAAAGTCAGGAAAGGTGTGCATCAGGGTTGTATCCTTTCACCATACTTATTCAGTCTGTATGCTGGGCAGATAATCTGAGAAGCTGGATTATATGAAGAAGAATGGGGCATCAGGATTGGAGGAAGACTCATACAAACTGCCATATGCAGATGACAGAACCTTGCTTGCCGAAAGTGAAGAGGACTTGAAGCACTTACTGATGAAGATCAAAGACCACAGCCTTCAATATGGAATACATCTCAACATATAAAGAAAACAAAAATCCTCACAACTGGACCAGTAAGCAACATCATGTTCAATGGAGAAAAGATTGAAGTTGTCAAGCAAAGATTTTATTTTACTGGGATCCACAATCAACACCCATGGAAGCAGCAGTCAGGAAATCAAATGACGCATTGCATTGGGCAAGTTTGCTGCAAAAGACCTTGCTAACGTGTTAAAAAGCAAAGATGTCACTTTGAGGACTAAGGTGTGCCTGATCCACATCATGATATTTTCAATTGTCTCATATGCATGAGAAAGCTGGATAATGAATAAGGAAGACTGAAGAAGAATTGGTGCCTTTGAATTATAGTGTTTGTGAAGAATATTGAATATACCGTGGACTGCCAAAAGAATGAACAAATCTGTGTTGGATGAAGTACAACCAGCATGCTCCTTAGAAACAAGGATGGTGAGACTTTGTCTCACATACTTCGGACATGTTATCAGGAGGGACCAGTCGCTGGAGAAGGACATCATGCTTGGTAAAGTATAGAGAGTCGGTGAAAAAGAGGAAGACCGTTAACGAGATGGATTGACACAGTGACTGCAATGGGCTTAAGCATAACAACGATCATGAGGATGGCACAGGACCGGGCAGTGTTTTGTTCTGTTGTACATAGGGTTGCTATGAGTCGAAACTGATTTGACAGCACCTAACAACAGTTTTTATCCACTGGTCCTGCAATATGTATAAGTCAAATACCATAGCAACAAATGTAAATTATTTAATGTAATAGATATTTGGGTTACTGTTAATTCATGGAGCCCTGGGGGCAAAATGGCTAAGAGCTCAGGCTGCTAACCAAAAGGACAGCTGTTTGAATCCACCAGCTGTTCCTTGGAAACCCTATAAGGCAGTTCTGCTCTGTCTTAAGGGGTCGCTATGAGTCGGAATCTACCCGATGGCACGCAACAACAACAACAAATTAGTTTATTCAAACAAATCAGAAAGTGTCAAGGGGCTACTGTACTAAAAATTTCTAGAAAAGTGGTCAGTAGACAACAATGTTAATAATTGAAGGATTAAATAAAATACTTGATAATATTCTCTATTACTCATTTATTGGTTTAAGTTTTGTATTAGTGACTGACAAATATTAGAATATATATAGCATTAATAATAAATATTATAATACATTAGGGAAAAAAAAAAAACAAACTTGTTGCTCTTGAGTCGATTCTATGGGGTAGAACTGCCCCAGAGTTTCTAAGGCTGTAATCTTTATGGAAGCAGACTGCCACATCTTTCTCCTGCATAGTGCCTGGTGGGTTTGAACTGCCAACCTTTCAGTTAGCTGCCGAGTGCTTAACCAGTGCACCACCAAAGCTCCTTAGAATACATATATCAAATGAATCAGAAATAATCTTCATCAGTAAATTTATCCTTGTCTAAGCAAATATAAAGCTGTTTTTGTTGTTTTCCAGAATACCGAGAACATACTTCACACGTTGACTCAGCACACCAGGTCTGAACTTAACCTCTCTTTGTATTACTAGTATTCAGAAATCAGCCAGAAGATACATAATTGTTTTTATTAACTAGGTATGTCACAACCTGTGCCTTTGCACTCAATACTCTTTTACTTGCCACTGGTTCAATGGACAAAACGGTGAACATCTGGCAGTTTGACACAGAAGCACTTTGTCAAGGTTAGTAAGGATATCATCTTTAATCCAGTTCAATCCCATTCACTGTTCAAATCAGAAATTAGGTAAATTTTTAGAAGGCTATTCACATTGCTTTTCTCAATACAAAGTATACATCCAAGTTTAATAAAATTTAAAAATAATTTTAGAGAAGCCAATGTTAAAGTAGTTGACCTACCTTAAAACTGTTGGTCAATGCTTTTGCGTTCACATTCATGTATATCACATCTATTATAGTTTATAAGTTATTTATTACATACTCCATACTATTTTTTCAAATAATTAGAGTCTGAGAACAGAACAGAAATCATAATTTCATTTTGTTGGTGTTATTTTTGGCCTCATCATGCAGTATTGACTCTTAACATAATTTTATTTTTATCGTTGTCACAATTAAACAAATAGTACTGACATGCATATGATAGAGCAAATAAAATACTTCTGCTGGTATGAATTTTATGTAATAAAGGAAAACCATTTTTCTGGAGTGAAAAAGAAAGGTGTCCAAAAGATTAGTATTTAATTTAGTATTAAATAAATAATATTAAATACTAATTTAATTATACTTGGTGATATTTGATATTTTGGAATTCTTAAAAGGAAGTATTAAAACAGATTTAAGGAAATTTTATTTACTTTGTAATTCAAGGTGAGAATGTTTATAAAAGAAATGCTGTTTTGTTATTTCACTTGCCTTTTTGCTTGTGATTTTTGTTGTTGTTTAAGCAGGGAGCATGGAAGATCAACTGAAGCAATTTACTGATGATTGGTCAGAGGAGGATGTCTCAACATGGCTCAGTGAACAAGGTTTAAAAGACCTTGTTGATGTTTTTAAGATGAATAACATTGATGGAAAAGAACTGTTGAATCTTACAAAAGAAAGTCTAGCTGATGATTTGAAAATTGGTAAGATTAGTGAAAGATAGACAGTCTTAAAAAAGACTTAATAATTTACTCAAGTTAATTTCAGTTGCATCAATGATTTCCTGTTAATATTCTAACATAGTAATTATCCTGGTAGATGTGTTTTATAGAGGGAGGATATATTTTTACCAGGTTAGAGAACATAATATGTTATATAGCATTTCTTTGGATAACTAAAGCTACTCTGTAATTGTAGTCTTTTTTAAAAAAAATTGTGTTTTTTTAATTGAGATACAGTTCATATACATAAAATTCACCTTTTTAAGTATACAGTTCACTGGCTTTTAGTATATTTCAGAGTTATGCAACCATCACCCACACGCTACTTTCAGAAAACATTTTCATCATCCCAAAAAGAAGCCTTGTACTGGTTAGCAGACACTCCCCATTTCCCGTCTCAGGCTCACCATCTCCTGGCATTTCATACTTTTTTTTTATGTATTTGCCTATTCTGGACGTTTCTTATAAATAGAATCATACAATATGTGGCCTTTCTGATTCATTTCTTTCCCTTACATAATGTTTTCAAGGTTCATCCATGTTTTAGTGTGTATCAGTATTTCATTCCTTTTTATGTCTGGATAATGTTTATTGTATGGATATACCACATTTTATTTATCCACTCATCATGGGTTGATAGACATTTGAGTTGTTTCCACTTTTTGTCTGTCGTGAATAATGCTGCTGTGAACATTCATGTACAAGTTTTTGTGTGAACATGTTTTCACTTCTCTTGGTATGTATCTAGGAGTGGAATTGCTGGGTTATGTGATAATTCTGTGTTTAACAGTTATACCAGTTTATATTCCCAGTAGCAGTGTATGAGGAATTCAGTTTGTTCACATCCTTGCCAGCACTTGTTATTAACTGTCTTCTTCATTACAGCAGTAGGTAGTTGGAATCAACTTGACAGCAACAGGTTTGGTTTTTGGTTTGGAGTGGTTATGAACTGGCACCTCATTGTGGTTTGGATTTGCATTTCCGTAAAGGCTAATGGTGTTGAATGTTGTCATGGATTGAATTATGTCCCCCAAAGAATGTGTGTATCAATTTGGCTCGGCCATGATTCCCAGTATTATGTGGTTGTCCCCCATTTTGTGATTGTAATTTTATGTTAAAGAGGATTAGGGTGGGATTGTAACACCCTTACTAAGGTCACATCCCTGATTCAATGTAAGGGGAGTTTCCCTAGGGTGTGGCCTGCACCACCTTTTATCTTACAAGAGATAAAAGGAAAGGGAAGCAAGCAGAGGGTTGGAGATCTCGTATCACCAAGAAAGAAGCACTAGGAGCAGAGTGTGTCCTTTGAACCCAGGGTTCCTGCACAGAGAAGCTCCTAGTCCAGGGGAAGATTGATGAGAAGGACCTTGCTCCAGAGCAAACAGAGAAGGGAATCCTTTCCTTGGAGCTGAGGCCCTGAATTTGTACTTCCAGCCTACTGGACTGTGAGAGAATAAAATTCTCTTTGTTAAAGCCATCCACTTTTAGTATTTCTGTTACAGTGGCACTAGATGACTAAGACAGAATTTGGTACCAGGAATGGGGTGCTGCTCTAACAGATACCTAAAATGTGGAAGTGGTTTTGAAATGTGAATGGATAGAGAAGCAGCAGCAGCAGAGGACCAGCAGTGGCAGAGAACTTGCAGGAGCAGAGAAGTGGCAGTGGCAGAGAACCAGCAGCAGCAGAACCAGGAGACCAGCGTGAGACAGCGCTAGAGCTGACCCACAGAGTGAGAGAGCTAAATGCTTGTGCACAGGAGGCTCCCTGGCAGAGTAGGGTGCCTCTGGGCACTTATCAGTGGAGCAAGAGAGCTGAGTGCCTGTGCACAGTGGGGTGCCTCCAGGCACTTACTGGTGGAGCTACAGAGCTTTGGAACACTTGCCCCAGCAGGGAAGATGCAGGTGTGAGGCCTAAAGAGCTGAGAGGCCAAGAAACCAGGATGCAGAAGCTGAAGAGACAAGGAACACAAGAAGCCGAGCGGCCTCGGTCTCAAAGGTCTGGCCATAACCTCTGGGGTTTCAAAGGGTGGAGCCATGGCCTCTGGTATTTCTCAGGGTAGAGTTGCCACTCAGATGGACTAGGAGAATGGTGTGCCTAAAGCTGAGGGAGCAGAGTCACTGTCCCAGTGGGCCTGGAAGGCAGAGCTGAAGCCCAGGGCCGAGGGCCCTCCACTCAGTATCTGGAGAGTGTGGCCAATATCTAGAGTCTGGAGGGCAGGGCCATCGTGTAAATTGTCTCAGCGAACAGAGGATTATTTTCAAAGCCTTGAGGGCTAATGTAATGTGTTCTGCTGACTTGCTTGGTGCCTGTTACTGCTTCTTTCCCTCTAGTTTCTCCCATTTGTAATGGAAATGTCTAGCTTGTGCTTGTTCTGCCATTGTACCTTTGGAAGCAGATAACTTGTGTTCTAGATTTCACAGATGAAGAGGAATTTTTGGATTTTGGACTTGAAGTTAAGACTTTTGCTATGATATGATGGGGTGAATATGTTTTGCATGTTGCAAGGATGTGATTTTTGGGGGGCCAAAGGGTAGAATGTCATGGATTGAATTATATCCCCCCAAAAATGTGTGCATCAGTTTGGCTGGGCCATGATTCCCAGTATTGTGTGGTTGTCCTTCATTTTATGATTGTAATTTTATGTTTAAAAGGATTCTAGTGGGAATGTAACACCCTTACTAAGGTCACATCTCTGATCCAGTGTAAAGGGAGTTTCCCTGCACCACCTTTTGTCTAGCAAGAGATAAAAGGAAAGGGAAGCAAGCAGAGAGTTGGGGACCTCATATCACCAAGAAAGAAGCACTGGGGGCAGAGCACGTCCTTTGGACCTGGGGTTCCTGCACAGAGAAGCTCATAGTCCAGGAGAAGATTGACGAGAAGGACCTTGCTCCAGAGCTGAAAGAGAGAGAAAGCCTTCCCATGGAGCTGAGGCCCTGAATTTGTACTTCTAGCCTACTGGACTGTGAGAGAATAAAATTCTCTTTGTTAAAGCCATCCGCTTGTGGTATTTCTGTTACAGCGGCACTAGATGACTAAGACCAGTGTCTTTTCATGTACTTATTGATCATTTATGTATCTTCTTTGGAGAAGTGTCTACGCAAGTCTTTTGCTCATTTTTTTAATTGGGTTGTCTTCTTATTGTTAAGTATGTGAGTTCTTCATATATTCTAGATACCAGTGCCTTAGCAGATACATGATTTGCAAATATTTTCTCTCACTTATGGGTTGCCTTTTCACTTAATTTAATTACTGATAAGGTAGGATTTATGTCTGCTCTTTGCTATTTGTTTTGTATGTGTCGTGTCATTTTGATCTTCTGTTCCTCCATTACTGTCGTCTTTTGTGTTAATTAGATATTTTCTAGTATACCATTTTAATTCTATTATTTTATCGTTTAAGTTACTTTTTTAGTGCTTGCCTGGGGATACAATTAACATCTTAATTTATAAAAATCTAGTTCAGATAACTACCAACTTAATTTCACTAGTATGCAAAAACTTTGCCCCTATGTAGCTCTGTTCCTGCCCTCCCTCCTCCTGTATGCTATTCTTGTCCAACATTTTATATATTACGTGCCCATCAGCACAGATTTATATTTGTGTTTAAGATCTGGAAAGTTAGCATATTCAACAAATTAAACACAGAGTAAATTAGTATATAGACTAGGACATTGATTTTTGTTCACATTATTCTAAAGTATCTTAAAGTTTTTGCCAAATTACAAAGGATTAAAGGGCTAACTTTAATCTTCTACAAGTGCTACTTTAAGCTGCAATGAATTTCTTTTAATCTTGAATTTTAAGAAAAGCAAGACTCTTCCTCAAACAGGAGTTGAACTAATAGAGAATTAAAATTTCTAAACAGAAAAAAATAAGAGCAGGGCTTTGAACCGGTTTGTTGTGGTTTGAACAGCTGCTGAAAATTTGCATTTCTAACAAATTCCCTGCTGAGAATTTGCATTTCCACCCCAGATACGCGGAATCATAATCTAAAATTTAACGATATCCTCAGGTGATTTTTATGTATAACTTCTTGCAAACTTGTTAGAAATGCACATTTTCAGCAGGGAATTCATTAGAAATGCAATTGTCAGCAGGGGTTCAAACTGGAATGAACTGGTTCAAAGCCCTGGTTAACAGGAAAACTGATAAATATATGCTAATGAGTTTTATTTTGTACTTCTCCAATGCATGGCTTTACTTGATTTGCCTTTGTGACACAATTTTTTAAAAGATTCCTATGTCAGTGTGAATAAATCTGTATTTGTTTCACATTCATCATATGTTGTTGCTGTGTGCCTTTGAGTCGATTCCAGCTCATAGCTACCCTGTATGGTAGAGTAGAACTACCCCATAGGGTCTCCTAGGCTGTAATCTTCACGGGAGCAGATTGCCGAGTCTTTTCTCCCATGGAGCGGCTGGTAGTTTCGAACTACTGACCTTTTGTATATCAGCTGAGAGTTTAACCATTGTTCCGCAAGGGTTCCTCATCATATGTAGGAAGTTGATTCGTTGTGCAAAGGTTGATACATTGGAGTATTTAAGACCAAGCTAGCATGTTTGACACTTAAAATGTAGGAACTGAGCAGTCTACTGATTTTTTTCAATAGGCCTTTTGTAAATACAGAGTAAAGGAACTTTCTGCAGACTTGTATGTCTGTTGAAATCTGGTGCTTTAACCAAGGATAATAGGCCTTTTCTAGGATTATGTTAATGAAACCTAGGGTACAACAGGCAAACAGTTTTAGGTAGGAAATAACTCCTTATATCTAGTACAGATCGTCCCCGGGTTACAAACGAGATCCGTTCCTGTGCCTTTAAGTCGAATTTGTAAGTTGGTAAGAGGTGCATACGCTTCTTATTTAGCCTTACTTTAGTGTTAAAGGAGCCCTGGTAGCTAAGTGGTTAAGTGTTTGGCTGCTAACCAAAAGGTTGGTGGTTCAGATCCACCAGCTGCTCCTTGGAAATCGTATGGGGCGGTTCTACTCTGTCCTATAGGGTTGCTTTGAGTTGGGATCGACTCGATGGCAGTGGGTTTGGTTTTTAGTTTAGTTACTGCAAGAAGGAGCGTTGGTGGTGCAGTGATTAGGAGCTACGGCTGCTAACCAAAATGTCAGCAGTCAAATCCACCAGCCGCTCCTTGGAAAACCTGTGGGGCAGTTCTACCCTGTCCTGTAGGGTCGCTATGAGTCAGAACCGACTAGATGACAATAGGTTTGGTGGTTTTTGGTTAGTGCAAGAAAAGGCTGGAAGCCTTTTCAATAATTTAAAAGCTGTACATGCAGCAATCGAAGGTGATTGTGATCGAAAATTTGTTGTAAGTAGGAATTGGTTCATTCATTTCAAAGTGAGGGCAAGTTTACATGACATTAAAGGGCAAGCAAGGGTTATCTGTAAGTTGGGCATTTGTAACCTGGGGACTGCTTTTACTACATTTGCATAAGGAATGTCTAGACAGATTACAGGTACAAAAGATTCTTGACATTGAAAAGGATATGTCTTGAGACATTTTTGAATCCACAAATTTATGAACAGTACTGCAGTATTTCCTCTCTTTCAGAAGGCATAAAGTATGAAAGGTAAAAAGCAATAAAGTCAGTTTGAGATGTGATACAGAGCAAGCAGTAGGTTCTCTAGCTGTGTGATTTCTGTCTGTACACTGGCCTCAGTTTATATTTGGGCCTTAGGATTAGTACAGATTCTACATATCTTGGAGTTTGGGACTGCTACAGATGACAAAATAGTAGAAACTTTGAGTGACAAATGCCAAGGAACATCAGGTCAGTCTTTACACTTAGACTCAAGTAATCATCAGTCGTGTATTTCTAATTGGGAATGAGGCTTTTTCTTAGGTTCATTCTACCTTTTGTTCTACTTGCATCTCCCACCAATGTTGAATTTAAATTATAAAAGCATGTGAGACATATTTCTCATTTTCTGATGTAAAAGTTATAATATCAAATGGCTTTTTAAACTTACACATCAACTTTCTTCACACTCTCAGATTTTGAAAGTTTCATATTCCAGTTCGTACTTCACTATGTAGGTCTTTACTTGTTGCCTGACTGTATTCCTACATATATCATTAAGTAACAGAACATTTATGTTCTTTGTTTTCTTTGTACAAAATTAAAGTGAAACAGTCCCTTCAGATCTAATTACTGTGGGCCTTTGTACTGATCCACTGTTGGAGTGGGCAAAAGCCTTCCAGCTTCTGCTGCTCTTAAATTGACACGGCTTCGTTTCCTGTGAGTACTTGCTAGACGTTTTGGAGTCCCTTTTTCTCAAGTCCCATCAGATCCCCTGTTGCTTTCTTTCACACAGATGTCAGCCAGATATTGTTAGTTTGGCCTCACCTGTTTATATTATGGAGTTCATGAGGCTACCTTGCCATGTTTTGTTGAAACTGTCCATGGGATTTGATTTTGCTATGTGCTTGTTCCGTTTTTATGTGCGGAATTCAGAAAAATTTAACTATGCTGCTTCCTACACCATCTTCCCCAAATCCTCTTAAAAACCCCTGGTGTACTTGGAGTTGTTTCCCTTTTCTTTCTTAATGTAGTTTTTATGCTTTTTCTTGATCATTCTAGTCAGAAGTTAAATTTTTTTTCTTTCTTTTTAAATAAAATTTATTTATTTTTAGTAAAAAGTCTCTTTTTACCTTTCTTTCCAAGAACCCTCTTTTGGTTCTGTGAGGTGATGGATGGTTAGTTCCCAGCTCTAGGGCGGGCCTGGTGTTATCCTGCCTCCAGCTAATGCTGGTGGAGCTATTTTGCCTTTCTTTTTCCCCCTCCACAAGTTGGCAGTGATGCAGGACAAAGCTGGGGAAGTAAAAGGCACAGGTCATTTCCCACCCTCCCACTTCTGTTTACCTAGGGAGTTTTCAGAGTTTTGTTTTGTCTTTTTGATGATTATGAGTTTCTAGAGTCCATCAAACTCAATTAGGTGGCATTTCCAGGGATGGATAAGAGGTCCAAAGGAGAGTTTGTAACCCATTTCAATTGGTCTTCTTGTCAAGAACCAGATGCCTCTTCAGGGGTAGAGTAAATAATAGCCAGATCTTACCCTTTAACCATACTGGTTTATTAGCCCTCTGCTGTAAGAGTCTTTTCCTTCTGAGCAATTAAGTTTACAGTTCTTACCCCCACCCCCAACCTAGTTTGGGAAGTATGCACAAAATGAGATGTTTGTCTCTGGTTAAGGTCTATAGATGTGATTTGGTAATTGTTTCCTCGAGGGCAAGTGATCTGATTCCATTTTTAACGACATTAAAATTAGACAAGGATAACACTCAATTTAAACTTTTCTTATCTGGGGCATTTTGAATCAGCTTTCTCTATTCACTATTATAAATATTAGTATACATATTCAAGTGAAGAATTTTCACCTGGCAGATTATCAGTAAGCATACCCCAACCATGATACATTTTCCATCATGTCTAATCCTTTCTCTAATATGCTCACCTCAATAAATTGATCTTATCAAAACCTTCAATCTGTTAATCCTGTTCACCTGTTAAATTATCCATCTCTACCCTTATTTTTCACTGAACCTAGTTTAGAGTCATAGCCCATTGTTATAACTTCTCTTAAAGCCTCTGTTGTATTTTCCTGGCAAAATAAAAATATACAGGTCAGCTGACCCTTGAAAAAATGCGGCATTGTAGGTAGGATGAGGACTAAGAATTTAGCCCTGGGACAGTCCTGGAAGGGATGGGCTCAGTAAACTCTCTTGAATGTTTCTCTGATGTGTTACAGTAAGGTTGTCCATCATGGTCAGAGAACAGTGTGTTTAATTTTGGAGGCACTCTTCTCTAAATAGGCATTTTTGTGATAAAATAGCTTTCTCTTGAATCTGCATAGTGAGCTCATACAGAGTCTCAGGGAATCTCTAATCATATGGTAATTCTATGTTTAACTTTTTCAAGAACCTTCAAACTGTTTTCCATAGTGGCTATACCATTTTTATAGTTCTGCTAGCAATGGATAAGGGTCCCAATTTCTCCACATCTTCTCCAACACTTGTTTTCTTTTTTTTTTTTAATCATAGCCATCTTACTGGGGTGGGGGGTGATATCTCATTGTGGTTTTGATTTGTATTTCTGTAATGGAGCCCTGGTGGCGCAGTGTTTAAGAGCTTGGCTGCTAACCGAAAGGTCAGAGTTTGAATCCACCAACTGCTCCTTGGAACTGTATGGGACAGTTCTACTCTGTCCTATAGTGTCATTATGAGTCGGAGTCGACTCAGCAGCAACAGGTTTGGTTTTTGGGGAATGATTATTAGCATCGAGCATCTTTTTCAACTTTTTGCGTTTGTTGGCCATTTGTGTTTCTTCTTTGGTGAAATGTCTGTTCAAGTCCTTTGTCCATTCTTTAAGTAGGTGGTTTGTCTTTTTTGTTGTTATTTGGAATTCTTTAGGGATAATAAACCAAAACGAAACCCACTTCCACTGAGTCGATTCCATCTTCACAAACCCTTATCAAATCAAGGAATCTTTATGAGTGATAAATATTTCTGCAGAAATATTCAGCATGTAAAGAAATTCTTAATTTCTGTGTGGTGCTTTAAAAATATTGTTTTATAATCCTTAATTTGGGTTTAGTGAGTTACATGGGAAAGAAGTCATAGAAAAGCAGTCAAGCAGTCCCTAGGCATCAGCCAGCTGCTAGGTCAGCTCACCACATTTCTGTAGATTTAGTCAATAAGGAAATGAGTCCAAATAGATTTAAGCAGTTCATTACTCATGGCATAGAAGGGCAGCATGAGCTCCATGTTACTCTTGGTCCCCCTTACCCCCTGAGTCTCATGAGGGTGATACAGTGGTGGTTTGCATCAGAGCTGAGCAACCCTGGAGCTTATGAATTCCCCAGTATTAAAAGGGGACTGTTACTGAATTTACTGAACCCTTGCCCAAGAGGGAGACGTTATCCTTCTTTCAGTTGCCTTTGAGTCAGTTTCGACTCACGGTAACCCCATGTGTATCGGAGTACAGCTGTGCTCCATAGGGTTTTCCATGGCTGATTTTTCAGCAGTAGATCGCCAGGGCTTTGTTTTGAGGTGCCTTGGGTGGACTTGAGCTCCAGCCTTTCGGTTAGCAGCCGAGTGTATTAACTGTTTGCACTACCCAGGGACTCTTACCTTTGTGTTGGTCAGGAAACAAATCTGCTTTCTGACTGCGAGGGAGACACTATTTCTAGCTTCCAAGCATGTTGGCAAACGTCTTTGAAAATATTGTCCAAGACAAAAATTACCTCCCAGAAAAAAGAAAGCTAGTTTGGCTTTTTATGTATTCTGAAATGTAACTCTTCTATCTCACCCCACCAACAAACACCCCCACCTAAAACAGAACTGTCCACTAGCTGTAAAAATGCCAACAGCTATATCACTAACCTTCCTAGAATTAAAAAAACAAAAAATGAATGAAACTTGTGCACACACAATTTTTGGACAAACAAATGAGCTTTATTTGTGATTGTGTTTCATAACAACAAGTAATTCCAATTTTATAAAGTTTAAAAATATTATAATATGGAATTTTTACATCATTAATATGAGCATCTTTAAAATTGTTTTTTGGGGGGGATTTTTTGTTTTGTAAATAAATGAACCAAAAATAATAAACTTTTTCTGATTTTATGTAGTTTATTAATGTCTGACAACCTGAAATCTTTGAGGAACTTTCAGAATGTAAGGTTGTTTAAAATAAATACTAAAAAGTTTGTTTAAGGAGTTTATAAAGAAAATAATTCCATGTGGTATGAATATGTCTGAAGATTTTTGGTTGTAGATGAAATCTTGCATAAGGTTTACCAGTAGTTCTCCAGGCCTAACAGAATAATTTCTTTTCAGAATCGCTGGGGCTGCGTAGTAAAGTGCTGAGGAAAATTGAAGAGCTAAGGACAAAGGTGAAATCCCTTTCTTCTGGAATTCCTGATGAATTTTTATGTCCGATAACTAGAGAACTTATGAAAGATCCTGTCATCGCATCAGGTATGTGTGATGCTGTAGTAAGTTTCAGGGCATATCATATGCTAAATGAATAAATAATGTAGACAATTCACGGATGTTTTAAATGTGAAGAATTTTTAAAATCCTTGTTTTGTTTCTGATAAGTAGGCTCTGGGTTTTTTTTTTTTAAATTCGTTAGGCCTGAGGTGAACAATTGCACATGATCTATTTCTTAGCAAATAAAATTGGACAGAGTAGGTTTGAGTAGGTATAGAGACAGAAGGAATATTTTACAAGCTTTACTTAAACTTCTGAAATGTGTATTTAGTTACTAAAATGTAAAAGATAAAATATTGTTTTTTAAGAGACTTCTAAGATCTCTTGTATTTATTTTATATATCATGAATTTAAACAACTTTACAGAAATAAGAATTTAAAGATTATAAAGCTGTATCACTTCATATTAATTTCCAATCTTTTTCATAGTTTTAATCCATGAATCCATATTATATTCCTATTTTTGCCTAAAACTTTATTATACGTTTTTTTCTTTTTTAGAATTTTCTTTAATTGTGCTTTAAGTGAAAGTTTACAGCTCGTTAGTTTCGCATACAAAAAATTTATACACACAGTGTTATGTGACCGTAGTTGCTATCCTATAATATGTCAGCACACTCTTCCTTTCCACCCCAGATTTCCCATGTCCATTCAACCAGCTCCTATCCCTTTCTGCCTTCTCATCTCACCTCCAGACAGGAGCTGCCCACTGAGTCTCATGTTTCTACTTGAACTAAGACGCACACTCTTCACGAGTATCATTTTATGTCTTATAGTCTAGTCTACTCTTTGTCTGAAGAGTTGGCTTCCGGAATGGTTTTAGTTCTGGGTTAACATAGAGTCGGGGGGCCATGTCTTCTGGGGTTCCTTCAGTCTCAGACCATTAAGTCTGGTCTTTTTACTAGAATTTGAGTTCTGCACCCTACTTTTCTCCTGCTCCATCAGGGACTCTCTATTATGTTGCCTTTCAGGGCAGTCATTGTTGGTAGCTGGACACCATCTACTTCTTCTGGTCTTAGGCTGATGGAGTCTTTGGTTTATGTGGCCATTTTTGTCTCTTGGGCTACTACTTTCCTTGAGTCTTTGGTGTTCTTCATTCTCCTTTGCTCCAGGTGGGTTGGTATTATATACATTTCTGAATATTGACTTTCATTTTTAATAGCCTTTATTCCATTGTGTATTTTATGTATTCCATTGTGTATGCTGTATTTTTGTGTATTCCATTGTGAATGCTGTATTTTGCTTGACTCTTCTACTCTTAGGTATGTGTGTCTTGGTGAATTTTTATATTGTAAATAGCATTGCACTGATAACTTGGTACACATTTCTTTCTGTTGTTACCATTGTTTTGGGTTAGTTCGTAGGCTATGTTCCCAAAAGTAGAGTTAACCATTCAGAGACTGTCTTATTTTATGAATATGAAAAAAACAGTTTTGATAGCTCTTGCTATGTTTGTTATTAGGCTGTTTTCTGGAAAAAAGAAACAAGTTTAGAGTGTTACCAGCAGTATATTTAAGTGTACCTGTTTTTCCATAGCTTTGTAATTACTGAATTTCATAACTTCATTTATTTTTGCTAGTTGAATAGTTGTTTGAAACTGGATTCCTTACACTGCTAGGGAGATAATATATTTTTCTACATGGTAATTTACTATTTAAAAATGCTTGGGAATTTATCTTCTTTGATAACTAACTTAACTAAGGGACTTAGATACTGACCTTGTATATTGTGTCCATATTTTTAGGGAACTAATCATACAGAGTCATATCTTGTTAATATTATTATTTGTTATTGTGAAAATATACACAACAAAACATTTGCCAATTCAACAGTTTCCATATGTACAATTCAGTGACATTAATTACACTCTTCATGTTGTACAACCCCTATCACTATCTGTTTCCTAAATATTCCACCACCATTAATGTAAACTCAGTGCCCCGAAGCAAAAACTCCTCACACCTGGTAACCACTAATAATCTTTGGTTTTTATGTATTTGCTTATTTCATGTAAGATCATAAAGTATTTGCCCTTTTATGACTGACTGACTTTGCTCAGCATAAATTTTTTTTTAATAAATATTTTATTGAGTTTTTGGTAAAAGTTTATACAGAAAATTAGATTCCCATTTAACAATTTCTATACCTGTTGTTAAGTGACATTGGTTACATTTTCTGCATTGTGTCACCTTTCTCCATATTTCCATTCTGGTTGTTCTGCTTCCATTAATTCAGTTTCCCTGCCCTCCCCCACCCCCCAAACCTTCTCATCTGTGCTGTAGGGTACATGTTGATCATTTGGTCTCATATAGGTGATTTTTTTTTTCAGAAGCACAGAACTCACGGATGATACTGTTTATTTTATGAGTCAGTGTGTTATTTAGCTGAAAGGTAACCTCTGGGAGTAGCTTCAGTTCAGAGTTTAAAGAGTATCTCAGGGCAGTAGTCTCAGGGGTTCCACTAGTCTCTACCAGTCCAGTAAGTCTGGCCTTTATTTATTTTTTATAAGAATTAGAGTTTTGTTCTACAGTTTTCTCCCCTTCTATCCAGGACCATCTGTTGTGTCCCTGGTCAGAATAGTAGGTAGCGGTAGCCAGGCAGAGTCTAGTTCTTGCTGGTCTCTGGATAGATGAGGCCGTGGTTCATGTAGGCAATTGGTCCTGTAGACTATATTCTTCTTTGGGTCTTTGGTTTTCTTCTTTCTCTCTTGGCTCCAGGCAAGTAGAGACCAATAGTTGTATCTTAGATAGGCATAATGTTTTCAAAGTTCATCCATGTTGTGCCATGTGTCAGGACTCATTTCTCTTTATGGCTGAATGAGAAGTCATTGTGTATACCACATTTTGTTAATCAGTGGATAGACGATTAGGTAGTTTCCACCTTTTGACTATTATGAAGAATGCTTCAGTGAACATTGGTATATAGGTTTCTGTTTGCGTTCCTGTTTTCACTTCTTTTGGGTATGTACCTAGGATTGGGGTTACTGGGTCATATGGTAGTTCTGTGTTCAACCTTCTGAGGAATCAGCAGACTGTTTTCCTCAGCGTCTGTATCATTTTGCATTCCCACCAGAAATGTATGAGGGGTTAATACTATTTTATTTGATTGTGTCTACTTGCTCTAAACTTTTACAAGGAAGAAATACTTTTCATGTATACAGCTGTAAATATTTTCTTCTAGTTTTTTAAAAATGCTTTGTTCTCTTACATTTGGAATTTTATATTTGCTGTAATATATAATATCCAATTGAACCGAGAGCATATGTTTGTGTTTTTTGAAAATATCCTTTTTTAACTTTAAAAATAATATATACTCATTGTATAAAATTTTTTCAAACAATATGGAGATGTATAGTATAACACGTCATCTATCTGTTCCTAAGTTCCAGGTTCCAAAGGCAAGAGCTAATATTAATTTAGCATATAATTCTAGATATTTTTGTCTGTTTATGCTTAATGTCACATTTTAAATTTCAAGGGGAAAGCTCTCAGTCTTTCTCCATTAACTATAATGCTGGCTGTTGAGCCATGTGCTTTAAAAAATAATTTTATTGCAGTAAAAATTTATATAGCAAAACATTTGTCAGTTCGATTTTTACATGTACAATTCAGTGACATTAATTACATTCATCATGTTGTGCAACCATTACCACTATTCTTTTCCAAATTATTCCACCACCATTAACAGAAACTCAGTACCCCTTAAGCAATGAATCCCCTTTTCCCCCTCCCTTACACCCCTGGTAACCATTAATAAACTTGCTCTCTATACATTTGCCTGTTTCATATAAGTGGAGTTATACAGTATTTATTTTTTTGTGACTGATTTATTTCACTCAGCATAACGTTTTCAAGCTTCATCCATATTGTATCATGTATCAGGACCTCATTTCTGTTTATAACTGAGTAATCTCTTGTGTATCTATAACACATGTTGTTTATCCATTCATCTGTTGATAGACATTTAGGTTTCGACCATTTGGCTATTGTGAATACTGCAGTAAACATTGGTATACATGTGTCTGTTTGTGTTCCTGCTTTCAGTTCTTTTTGGGTATATACCTTGGAATGCGATTGATAGGTCATATGGTAGTTGTATGTTTAACTTTTTGAGGAACTGCCAAACTGTTTTCCAAAACAGGTATGCCATTTTGCATTCTCACCAGCAAAGGATGAGATTCCAATTTCTCTACATCCTCACCAACACTTGTTATTTTCCATTTTTTTTGATCATAGCCATTCCAGTGGGGGTGAGGTGGTATTTCATTGTTGTTTTGATTTCCATCTCCCCAGTGACTGACACTGAGCATCTTTTCATGTGCTTGATGGCCATTTCTGTAGACTCTGATGAAATGTTTGTTCAAGTCATTTGCCCATTTTTTGATTGGGTTGTTTGTCTTTTTGTTGTTAAGTTGTAGAAGTTCTTTATATATTCTGGATATATTAAGTCCTTATCAGATATATGGTTCCCAACATTTTCTGCCAGTCTGTAGGTTGTCTCTTCACTTTGTTGATAAAGTACTTTGATCAACAAAAATTTTTACTTTGATGAATTTTTAAATATATTTTTAATTTATTCTTTCTAAAAATTCATTTTAAACACTAGGCCTCAAAGCAGTATCCCTGTTTTCTTCTAAGAGTTTTATGGTTTTGGTACTCACATTTAGGTCCTTGTTCCATTTTGAATTAGTTTTTGTATATGGTGTGAGGTATTGATCCAGCTTCATTCTTTTGCATCTGAAAATAGTTTTCCTATCACCATTTATTAAAGAGACTCTTCTTTCTGCATTGAATTGACCTTGTACCCTTGTTGAAAACCAACTGACCATAAATATATTGGTTTAATTTCCTGACTCTCTATTCTGTTCCATTGGTCTATATTTCTATCATTATACCACTACCAGACTGTTTTGATTATTGTAGTTTTATAGTATATTTTGAATCAGGAGGTATGACTCCTACTTTATTTTTCTTTTTCAAGATTAC